CACCACACCACTACTGTCTCCACCACCCACCCCTATCCTACCCTGACCACCACTAACCACCATGCCACTATTGTTGCCATCATAGCCACGCACTCCCAGCTACTCGACCACCATCCCACCGGTAATAAAGAGTTTTTAATGAGTTACTTCCTTCTAACTTTATAACTTATTTCGGTGTGACCGACAATAAGATGTTTTAATGTTTGGATGAGAAAAGAAAAGGGCATCTATCTTATCAGCTTATCTGGTGTGGTACCGCCATAAGCTAATCCAAACACTTTTTTTTTATTAAACTCCAATTTATCACCATATAAGTTGATAAAGTCTTTTACGAAAAAGCATAAGTTGTCTTAAAATAAGCAATCCCAAACATCTTAATCCAATTAATTTATGTATAAAATATTGAAATCTCTTAATTATTATGCATTATGCAAAAATGAGGAATACATGTATCACTTTTCAGAGTCAGGTTTTACTTTCAGAAATAGATTTTACTTTTCAGGTTCCCAATTTAAAATTCAAAATCTAAACCTTGTTCTGTGCTCTCTCCATTGTCTCTCTCTCAACCTTCTCTTTATTTTCTCTTTTTGGAGTTCACATCTTTCGTTATTTGTGGCTTTTGACTCATCTGTGATGTTTTGAGAAATCCTTATTTCTTGGTGGCTCATGACCTCTTGGTTTTCTTCCCCTTCCCCAAGATAGGCAATTCACAGTCCCAAGTATACTATGGGCTCCTATGGATCCTCTATCTCTCAAGGCAAGGTTTTATCTTTGTTATCCGAAAGTATTGCCCTTATGAAATCAAATGTTGAACTTCATTTTAGTCATTTTGCTTCGGTTTGAATTTGGTTTTGTTTATTTCAAGTTTTTGGTTTAGTATGAATTTAGGTTTTGGTTTCAATCGGTTCTGAACTGATGAGATTTGGTTTAAGTCCAGGTAAGGTTTTATCTTTGACTCCGAGTTTATCTTGCAATTTGTAGACCACGCGTTGTTACCTTGTGTTTGTTGGATCCATTTAACAATTGGTGTGTCTGCTTAAGAGTCTAGAGCAAACAGGTCTGGTAATTTTAAGAGTAACAATGTTGTAACACCCGGAAAATTTTTAAGTAAGTAAAATTCCCAAGATCCATATTTATCGTTATTTCGTCCTTTAAATAACTAAAATCAGATCTGGAAATTTGGTTGCGTTTGGCTGTCATTGCTAGGCAAGGAAAGAGGCTCAAATAAGTGAAAAGTGAGAAAAACCTTCGATACAAGTCTCACTATTGTGCCTGGCGACATAGCTAGGGGGCACAATAACATGTCAGGATCGCCTAGTGAGTTCAAGCAGTTTTCATCTTTAATATAAAGCGGTAAAATTGAAATATGCTATTAAATCACAATTTTCAAAATAAAATGTATTAAATATTAAAGTAACATCTTTCCCAAAACTCACCATTTTCATAATGAAAATTCATTAATCAAAACACCCATATGAACCAAATACTACTCATACAAATTGACTATAAAACATGGATAAAACTCTATTATCCAAAACATCAAAACATGGATAAGGTCCAACATTTAAGACCACATATTATGGATAACATTCCATAAGCAAAACAACACGGAAAACATAGATAAACTCTATATCCAAAAACAACACCTTTTGGTGACGGATGCGACATATTTCCATTGAACGTGGTGGGGATACAAAAGTATGTCATGCATCGATGTTATGGAACTACCCCTCAGATCCATTGAATTTAGTGCACACTATATCAAGTGTCACCTTAAGTTCTCAATACCTTTAATGCACACCCCTACCGGGCGTCATCTTAAGGTCACAGTACCTTTACTGCACATTCTCTACCGAGCGTCACCTCAAGGATACTAGATCTTAGTGCCCATCCGTTATCTAGTTGAGTTCCAACCTTAAAGATATCATTCGACCTTTAGTGTCTATCCACTAGAATTCAAGATAGGAACATCAAGCTTCCTACTTGACAACACATGCATTTATCCCTCATGTATAAGGGTTAATGCATCAAAACCATAATACTCACGATCCTAGAATTCAGCTCATAACAATTCACCTCCGCAATACCAAGACAACCACAATGCTTACACAAGCATTGATCACAAAATGAGGATATCAAGACTTCCTACTTATCAAACACAACTGATTCACATGCATATGGATCCGATGCATGACAGTCTAAATTACATGACTCTAAATGAAAGTCTAACTGTGTGTCCCTATTTCACTGATCAATCTTCATATCTTCACAACAATGGCAGATTCTCAGATATAACTTGTAAGAACACCAAGAACATTGAGAGAGAAAGTCAATCCTGATAATTCTGGTCAAACTCTCATTACGTATCAAATCTTACAAATGAGCTCTCATACTCAAATTACAAAGACTAACCACTATTTATATGGTCAAAC